TTTGGCAATGACTTTTAGTTTTCATTTACATTTCGGTAAGTTGTCAATGTTTTCCCGCCCTTTTTAACTAGAAGTTATATAAAATCAGTTCAATTTAGTGTTAAAAAACTGGTAAATGCGTAAATTGTTATTTCGGTCAACTATTGTAATAGAAAATCGCGAATGTTTAAAAAATATTCGGTAAATGTCCACTTTTCCGTTTCCCTTGTTCGCCATATCGACTGTGTTCGTGTAGTTTTACGCGTGTGTTTTGTTTTTGTTTTTTGTAAAAAAGTGATGGTCGGGCGTATATAATTTAAGTTGTTTTTTTGAATTTGTCAAAGCCTTTGATTGTCCTTTTGTTTTTATTAATACAAAAATAATTCACAAATCATTAAGTTCATTTATCTTTGATCTAAGCGCCTTGTTTTTCTCAGCTCCCCAACAAATCTCTCTTCTCTCCCATATTTACTCCCCATTTGCTCTTTAATGTCCCAGCGGATTTTTTAGCACATACATCTTCCATCTGAGACCAATGACAATGTAGGTGCGACCCATCCAAAGCCTGTATACAATTTCTACTTACATTTACACAGCGATGGCCTAGGCCGTCAGACGAGTCCGAAATCTACCGACAATGTAAGCGAATGTTGGATGGGTCCGAAATCGACCGACAACGTAAGCGAATGTTGGATGGGTCCGAAATCTATCAACATTGTAAGCGAAGGTTGGATAGGTCCGATTCCACCGACATTCAATCAATCGCTGTATTAATGTTAGATTGTGAATCTTAAATTTCTGCTGTTTTTTATTAAAATACACAACACAACACTTGCTATATTGTTATTTTATTTACTTATGTTGTTTTATTTTATCAATTTATTTTGAATATTAACACCACTTGCACTTTCAAAAACACTTCACAGAATAAAATTTTGCTTCAAAAAAGAAAGAAGCATCAAAAATGAAGAACGGTACAACACCAGCTGCAACAATAAACAAAAAAGTTACAAAACAATACAAAGGCATCCGATTCAGATGCAAGTGCGATGGGCACTTTTTATTGTATTTTGTTTTGTTCTTTAATTCTAACATGGATTTTGTTTCACAGTGTAATAGCAATACGACTCATCCGATTCGGATGCTAGTTGTATGCTATTAATCACTGTTATTTCATTTTTTCCTATTGACAATATAGCATACATTTGGATGGGTATTAAATTGTAATGGCCAGCGGACTGCTGGGGTGGGGAGAACTCTCAGAGTTGATTTGGCAATGACATTCAGTTTTAATTTACATTTCGGTTTGATGTCAACGTTTTCCCGCGATTTTCTAACAATTAATGGAAAAAGTGTTAAAAAATAATAACAGAAGGAAGATAATTGTAAAAGCTGTGTGCCCTGTCTAGTGATGTAAAGGAAAATCGTTAAATTTAAAGAAATTTTTTGCTAATAGTTGATTTTTTCCTTCTTTCATAGAATTTGTTTGTGCTTTCCTTGTTCGCTAAGTCAGTTGTGTGAATGTGTTGTTAATGCGAGTTTTTTTTTCTGTCAATGAATGAAAAGAAATGGAATGGGTTCCAGTGATCAACAAAATATGAATTCCCAGGGAAAAAAGAATGAGAAAAAGTGAAATAAAGATAGTTCCAAATGTTGTAGTTGCAAATTGTTAGTTCTATGAAAAGTCAGTTGTGTATGTATGTTGTTAGAGCGCGCCTTTTTATGTTGTCAGTGAATGTAAAGGAATAAAATTGGGTCCAGTGATCCACAAAGTTTTAAAAAATGTAAAAATGTGAATTCCTACGGAAAATAATGAAAAAAATATGCAGCCAATTGTTGTAGTGGTAAATCTTTTAAGTTTTATTAAAATGTCGGTTTCATCGCGCGCTGTTTATGTGTTGTTTAATAAAAGGTAGCCAATAGAAAAGCCAAAATAAAGCATGTGTGGTGAATTAAATAAATAAATAAATAAAAATCTTTCAAGTTTTATGAGATCGTCGGTATCATCGCGCGCTTTTTATATTTTCTTTCAAGGTGGCCAATTGAAAAGCCAAAATAAAGCAAGTGTTGTGAATTATATAAAAATGTTTAATAAATAAATGAAAAGTTTACAAATGTCAAATTTTTTTGTAACGGAAAATCGTAAAAAATAATGAAATCTCCTGGAAATTTGATGAGTTTCCTGTGTTGTGTGAGTGTAATTAGTTTTTTAATTATAGTCCATGAATGATATAGAAAAAATAGGCCCATTGGTTCTAAAAAAATAAATTCCTACGGAAATGGAATGTGAAAGTGCCAAAAAATTATGTAGTCAATTTTAATTGCAAATCGTAAAAAAATTAAGAAAAATCTCAATATGTCGTCAATAAAAATGTGGTCAATTTGGAAAAAAATTAAAATTTTTGCATCTATATCCGAAATATATAAAAAAGTTTAATTAAGTGCGAAAAAATGTATTAAAATCCATAAAGCCAAATTATTTTATTTTACCAAAATTTTCAAAAAATGGTCAATATCAATAGCCAATTCTTTTGAAAATCATATCTGGAAACATCAACCGCTCCTGGTATAAGGTAAGTCCTTAAACATCTACTATTTATAAACATTATAATTCAATTACGTTCCAAATTAATCTCAAATAATTTTTTTAAAACCCTTCTTTCAACAAGTTCAAAAGATCAATGTGCCACACTTCATACTTCATGGCAGAAGCTTTTATCCATTATTCGTCAACCATTATTCATTTTATGAAAACCAAAATTTCATGCCGGACAGGGTTAAAGAAATTTCATCCTGTCCCCTAAAAAAAAATCTCGAAAAATCAACTTGCTTCTGTGCTGTGTTCGATGGGATGTGCCGAAGTCGATCCCATTATCCGAATATTCGTCAATATTATACAATTGAAATCAGACGAAGAGATATATGGAAGCTATATATTAATAGTGTTCGCCCTTGGACCAACAGAATGATTTGTGGAAAATGCCATCTCAATCGGACAATAAATACGACCTGTAGTAGTTGTTTACAAAAATACATGGGCAGACGCATTGATTTACGGACATGCATAAATCGAATCAGAATATGATTCTGTGGAGATCATTAAAAGAAACTATTGATCTATTTCCTTTCCAAAGAAATGCACATAGACATATGACGGTTTACCACAGTGTGGCGTAGGCTATAAAAATTGTGGGTCAATTCAATATGTGGTGTCCGTTGGAATTGCAATTTTGGAATTTCGAAAAAAGCAAATTCAGCACAGGAATTGTACTAGGTTTGTTCTCAATTGACCCGTATTTTTCAAATTCGAAAAAAAATTTCTGAGACATTCGAAAAAAATTTTTTTCGAAAACATCGGGGGGAATTGCAATTTTCGAAAAAAAATTAAGTTGTGCTGAATTGTACTTGGTTTGTGCTCATTTGTGCCGTTAATTTTTTCTCAATATCTTCAACCGTTTTCGATATATGACAATTTCGAAAAAAAACTGTATTTTTCAAAAAAAATCCTGTAGTTTTTGTAAAAAGTAAAGGGACGATACGAGTGTATGGACGTACAATGATGCTAAGTAAGCACAATTTACCGCATCTCGATATTTCAATTTTTACAAAAACTACAGCGATTTTTTTTTTTTTTTTTTTGAAAAAAACTGGTTTTTCGAAACGATATTCGGAAAAAACAAGTAAAAAATTTGTAAGTTCACTTGGGCCGAGATTTGAATGCACTCCACCATTTGGAACCAATTTGGCAATTCCAAAAAAAAAAAAATCCGCTAAAAATTCTTTTAAAATCTTGAAAATACCGAATGTAGCCGTAAATTAGGGACTTTATGACGACGTAGACCTGCATAAGTTGTTACAATATTCAAATGCGATATTTAAAAAAAAAAAATCGGTGAATAATGTCGCTAAAATGATCAATATACCGAAAATAGGGAGGGCTATACAAAAATATGGACCTGCACAGACAATTTTCTATCGTATCCATTACGAACTTAAAATATCAAATTTGAAACATTTCCGGTGAATAATGTCGCTTAAATCACCAAAATACCGAATAGGGACCATTATATGGGGGCTATACCAAAACGTGGACCTACATGACCCATTTTCAATACCAAAAGTCCTGCAGACATAACATAAATTTGAGTAAAAGAAAATGCCAAGATAACTAAATCATTCAAAACACATACATCGTGCCGATCATGCTCCGGAAAGACTGCAGCAAACTGTATTACCAAATTTCTGCAAAGCTTTTCAGCTACCGAAACAGCAATATAGCGAACTTCGACCAAAATATTTGAAAATCAAGACCATAATTACAAATTGTACCAGATCAGGCAGCAAACTTTAGGTAAGATATTAAAGACTTAAAGTGCGAATAAGGTGATTTGATGAAAATTTAGTTTAGACCTCCAAAGTAAGTCATGTCAGTATGTAGCTTGCCTTAGCCGCTTATTTAAGCTATTCGTACAAATATTTGGATTTCTTCCACTTTAGGACTCAGAAGGGCCTTGTTTAGTTAAAATCAATTACATGTTTAAACGCCTAATAAATTGCTCATATTTCGTTTTTTATTTGAATTCCATATTTAAATGCATTTTCAAACCTAACGGCCTATTTTCCACTTCACATGGATGAGATGTGAATCATTTCCTTGTGTGGCCTATCTCAACATTCAAAAACTTGCCCCTTAAGAGTAACCATCATTCTCTTCCTCAACACAAAACTTTTTATCACACACAAATGCGGCGGTCTTTTGTTTTTCTTGCTTTGCCAACTCTCAATGCCGTAAAGTAGGTCAGGGACGTTGTGCTCATTTTGTGCGATAAACAAACACAAAATGCAAAAGAAAACAGGAACATACAATAAGACTCACTCCACTTGCTTCGCAAAGCTAAGAGCTTTTTCTCTCTTTGTTAAGGATGGCAATGTGATTCCCATAAAACGTAAGTTCTCTCAAAGGACTAAAAAGCTCGACTACCATCCCCCATATTTAAATTGCGGCCGGCAGGGAAATGCAGTTTTTTATTGTTTGTTTTGGTTATTTTTATTTGTTTTTCTTTATTCATTATAAAAAATATAGTTAATATATTGGCGTTGTTGATTCTTCATTATTAAATATTAAAACTCTTTTAATAAACATTAAAAAAAATATAAATACAAAAAAATACATTTATTTTAAGCTTAATTATCAACTTCGGCTCCATGGTTAAGAGTTAAAGGGGAGTAAGAAAAATTCTTGAAATTTGTTAGATTAACAAATCGTTAGTAAAATAAAAACGAGCACCGTTTTTGGAAAACACACACACAGAAAGAAATAAAATCCCTAATTTATTACAAAATATATTCGTTTCTTCTTCTTCTACATCCGCTTTAAGGCACATTTGTTCCTTTCTGGGTATTATTGCATAAAAACACACACACACATGCTTTGTAAAAATACATAGATGCATATAAATAATAATTTGGCAAATATAAAATATCATTTATCGACCGAAATGAAATCAACGTTTCATTTTCTCCAAAATCGGCACCACCATATCGAATTTGGGCCGCTTGCCAGGATCTTCATTCATACAAATGTTTATCAGTTTCGACATGTGTGGCGATGTGCCGGGTGGTATCTTCACACGCAAACCTTCTAGGGCAATTTTCATGCCACACTCCATGGGTGACCATTCGGCAAAGGGTATTTCACGGGTGGTCAATTCCCATAGCAGCACTGCAAAACTCCACATATCACTGGCCTCCCAATTACGATCGGCTGGTTTCTTCTGCAAAGCTTCGGGAGACATCCAGGCTGGTTGATAGATACGTCCTCTTTCTTGGAAGGAGAATTTGGCATCGCCCATATTGATGCGGGCCGTTAAATCTTCATCGATCTGAAATTTGGAAAAAATAAGAGATTAATTTTAGGAAAATTCTTTGCATGGAGAACTCATAAAGATCTTCTGTTGATACGAGACCTACTTGGGGACTTCACTGAATAAAAGTGTTTTAATGTCTGAATAAAATACCTTAGGTCCGCATAGAAAAACTTTTAAGGGTCTTATATGGAAAAAAATCTTTAAATGGAATTCCATTAATAAAAGATCTTCTAGAGGTCTTCTGAACACCTCTAAAATCCTGCTACAGATAGGATACCATTCATTTTGGATATTTTGGATTCTGTTGATAAAAACCCACCTCAAAGTCTTTTGAGGATAGAAGACCTACCAGAGGTCTTTCATGGATAAAAGATCTTTTAATGGTCCCCAATGGATAGATCACCTTCAAAAGATCGTCTATGGATAAATAGACCGTCTGGAGATGCATAGTGGGTGTAAAACCTTCTAAAGGTCTTCTATGGACAGAAGACCTTCTAGAGGTCTTCCTTGGATAGGATAGATTCACAAGGCTTTTTTTATGATTTATGGCTTGCGGAAGATCTTACATGGATAGAAGACTATCTAATCTACCTATCTATCTTTTAGAGATCTAAAGGTCCTCTATGACACAAGACCCCATAAAGGTCCTTTAAGACAAAATGCATCCTAAAGCTCTTCTGTGATAGAAGACCTTCTAAAGGACTTATATGGAATGAAGAACTTCTAAATGTCTTTTTTGGATAGAAGGCTTTCGAAACGTCTGATTTCATAGATCTTCTATATACAGAAGACCTTCTTAATGTCTTCTCTCACTGGTCTTCTATAGAGAGAATCCCTCCCATGTATCTTCTGTTGACAAAAACCTTCCGCAGGTCATCCATTACTACATAATTTTTGATACTTTTTCTATAGATGGAAGACATTCAATTGGCAGCTTTTCGATAGGCATTTTAGATAGAACACCTTCAACGGGGTTTCTATGGACAGTAGACCTTCAAAGATGAAGAAAGGCTTTCGACTGGTCGTTTTTTAGCAGAAATCTTTCCCGTGTTTTAGATTTGATTCATATGACCTGCTCATTTCTCCATTCTCTTCAAACTCACCATAACATGATGACTGTTTAAGTTGTAGGTTGGTATAATTCTTTCCAGTGAATGTAGATAGGCCATACCTCTGGCTATATCCAAGGCGAAGTGGACAGCTTGTGATGTATCCACAACTACACCGGTGGCTCCATGTAGCAAATGGAACAATGAACCTCGAGGCATAAACTAAAAGAAAAAGTAGGCATTTTAGAAAATGAAAATCACAATTAAGTTTTATACACTAACCTGGCTAATGACAATCAAATTTGGTGGAGAGTTACACGCTCCAATAATTGGCAAAATATTGGGATGTGAGAAAATTCTCAACTTTGGGAATTCTTCATTAAAATCACGCGATATTCTTGAGGTACATTGGCGTATGGCTAGAATTTTCGCAATAACATCATTCTTTTGCCAACGACCACGCCATGTCTCGCCGGATGGTGTTACGGCCACTTTTGTATGCAAATCCAAATCACCCATACTAATGCCTTTGAATCGTGACAGTGTGGCATCTCGTGATCTTGTCTTAAAGCCCATCCAGTTTTGTTCCTTGAAACTGATTTTCTTCATTTCCTGACCGTTACGTTCGGCTAAATCTTGTAGACGTTTGGCTAGTCCCGGCTTGGCTTTATCCAATGGCGTGTGATCATCTTTATTGGCAATTGTTACTGAGGCTCCAGAATTTACCAAATCTTCACAGATCATATCGTAACCCCAAAAGCAGGCATAGTGAAGGGGGGTGTTGCCATGTTCATTGACGGCATTGACGTCGGAACGTTCACGCAACAGCATTTGTACAACATCACGATGGCCATGGGCAGCTGCCAGATGTAGGGGGATATCATCACCCATATTTGTGGCATTGACACGAGCTCCTCTTTGCAAGAGGGTCTCAACCAATTTTGTGTGGCCCTCCTTGGCACACCAATGCAATGGACTGAAGCCGTGGTCATCACTAAAAGGACACAATAAAACTCAATATTAATCACTTTATTTAATGTGGTCATAAATTATATAAATCATAAGTTTATCAAAATTATGCACGTCTGTGTTTGCGTCTCAGTGTTACTTCAATGATTTCTGGTTAGTTTACATTGAGTGCCTACTTCATTTACTGATCTTACTCTCTCCATACTCAGAGGCACTTTCTCAACGGCAGCTCTCTCACCAAGCAGTCATCATCATTTGGCAAAATAACATCACCCCAACAACATTCCACACACACTGACACATGCATATAATAATAAAAGTAGGTGTATGCTGGCTGGCTTTCAGACAAATTCAGACGGCGGCAGACACACTCGTACATATCTACATACACACAATAATTCTAATAACACCAATCTTTTGATATTCAAATTTAAGATAAAAATAAAAACATGACGTCATAGATTTTGCACAACAATTGCCACTAGATTGGTGAGGGTCATAAATTGAGACTTGTTGTTGTTGTTTTTGTTAAAGATAACTTGATTTTGCATAACTTTTCTTAACTATGCGATCAATAATTTCTCCCATATCTCACAAATGTTTTTATTCCATCAGGAATTCTTCCATCAAACTTTACCCTAAATTCATGTCATGTTCCACATCGTCCAGCCATAGACGAACTTGTATCGAATTTCCCTCGCGACACCAATGGAAAATATCCTCCATTTTATTTGCGATTCGTTTTATAAAGTCTTGCCGATTAAATAGTAATAGTGTTCTAATTAAATTGTATGAACTTTTAATAAATTTAATGAAAATAAAAACAGATTGCCAATAAGAAGAAATGAACACAAATCACAAAATACCCAGAAATTCTGATTAGTAAGAAGCAGAGTGGCATTCACTTTGCATTGATAACTCTTGGGAAATGTCAAAGAGGTAATTGTGTGTACAGTACTAAAAGTGATAGGTCGTTTTTACATTAGATTATCAACATAGAGATGGCGCTAAAGTACAAAACGAGAAACGGTTGAGGAATTTTGGGAAAATTAATAAAATCACAATACCTGACAACAAAATTCCAAAAAAGAGCCATAATAAACACGAAAGAGGATAATTTTAACACTAAATTCCAACATTCAGCTGTAATCATATAAAAAAGAACAATTATAGATTTAAGCAATTGCTGCAATTTTTTGTCATTTTGCTTGTAACTCCTCGACATACTCATGCCAGACCCAACCAAGTAGATATATTCTTGATCGGCATAAAAATCCAAATCGATTTAGCTATGTCACAAATGGGTTAGGCAGGTTCACGTTTTCATATATCCCCCATATAACGGAACAAAAAAGTGTCTATGCAGGTCCACGTCTTCATATAGCCCTTATATAACTGTACCTCACAATTTTCGATAGGGACCAGAGGGCTGCAACGAGTATGCCAAAATTCAAGCATACTCGGTTTCTTACCTGATTTTTGTTGATGCAGTCGTTTAGTTTGATCTGAATGAAATGACCGTTTTCGCTTCGGATCGAATCGAACGCTCAGTTTGAATCACTTCACTCACAATCAAACATGAGCGTTCGAGACGGTTTGATGTGTTCAGCAACGTGAGTTGATTGAACACATGAATGTAAATGAGCAATCACAACCGTGATTGTCTTCTTTGAATCGAGTTCGCTCAGCGTCATTGTTTATTCAACCATTTAATCAAGTTAGGACAGTTTATTTTGACTTTTTTAATATTTGAAATGGAAGAATATTGTGATAGTGCGAACGAAATTGTTGCAAGTAGAAACTACACAGGTGTAGGTAAACGAAGAGGTCGAAGTTTGTGAAAAATCTTGACCAATATTGTAAAATAAAAAAAATATTTAAACATTTTTAGTTTTCTAAATACCAATGATGCGTTTCTTTACTAAAAAAATTTAATTTTTTTTTTAAATAAGTCACTGAAGTCTAACACACCAAAAAACCAAATAAAACGAAAACATTGTTTAAATATAATTTGCACCAATTTTTTATGGGGACAGCTTTTAGTTATGAAATCCTTTGTAAAATTACAATCATGATTTCGCTCAGTTTCGATCATTTGTGTTTTAATCAAATCAAATCACTCACTTAACTGGGATGAATCAAACCGACAAGACTCCTCATAGATGATCGACCCGTTATGAACAATTCAACATAAGTTCGTAAACAAATAACTCATGTGAGCTGTTTGATTGCGATCACAAAACTTCGATCAATACATGTTTGATCACAACTTTTTCGTTTGGCTTGAGTAACTCGAATGAACATGTTGCATCTGACCGACTGATTGAGTTTGATTGTATTTCCACTGTGTGTGATCAAGCCTACTCGATCATACTCATTGCAGCCCTCTGATAGGGACATTTTTACCGGAATTTTTGGATTTAAAGTTTGGATTTAAAGTGAGTTCTACGAGGGCGGTTTGGAAACTCTATCAATGAAAGGGAATAGTTAGTTTTTCAGAACTATTTTTATTTTTTAGTATAATCTCCTAAAACTTCAATACACTAAGTCCAACTAGTCTAGTCTAGCAATTCTATCCCTTGATTAAAATAGTTTTCTTCAAAAAATTCAAAATTGTGGTGGTCAAGCAACTCGTTCTGTAATTCGTTGATTTTAGCCATTGTTAAAACACTGTGCGCTGGTGCGTTGTCTTGATGAAAAATTATTTTTTTTTGTGTTGTAAGCCAGGACGTTTTTCTCAAAATTGTACATTGATCCAAAAGTTTGCAATAGTACTCTGAATTTATTGTTTTACCCTTTTGCAGATATTCGATCAATAAAATACCTTTGAAGTCCCAAAAAAAAACCCGTTGCAATAGTAAGGTTATAGCCGATTGAATTGTTTTTGCCTTCTTTGGGGCCCTTCCTCCAGCTTCACTCCATTGTTTTGATTGTTCTTTTGTCTCTGGAGTACAGGGTGAGATGAAACAACTGCAACAAAGTCAAACGCCATAATTTTTAAATTTTATTTTTAATTTTTATAAATAAAAGCAAAAAATGTTGGAAATAGCATCAAATTTTAGAATAAGTTTAGATTTGTTCGATTTGGTCATCTTTGGCACGAATTATGGCCTTCAAACGACCAATGATACCGTGACACGCTGCCCGAATTGTGCTTTGCGGTATTTTGGCCCATTTCCGGGGGAAGCGCTTGCTTGAGGTGATCGACACTTTGGTAATTTTTAATGCCAACCTTGCTTTCCAAAATACTCCAGAAACACTAGTCCAACGGATTGGTATCCGGAGATTTTGGTGGCCATTGTGTGCTGGAAATGAAGCGAGGAACCTCATTTTTTAACCATTCTTGGGTGGCGCGTGCTGAGTGCGATGGTGCTGAGTCCTGTTGAAAAGTCCAAGGTCTGCGGCAAAAATGTTTGCGTGCCCAAGGCTTTAATACATCCTCCAGAATATTTTCGTTATAATATTCGGCATTTATTTTGATACTACGATCGATTAATACGAGCGAAGAGCGACCATCGACTGTTATGGCGGCCCACACCATCACCATGGCCGTCGCTTGAGTTCTGGTGGCCAACCGAAGGTGCACATTTTCAGCTGACCTCTTTGACAAGTAAATACGATCATTTTTTTATTTACAAATTGCTGGACAACGAATGTTTTCCCATTGAAGTAAACCAAATTCGGCAGTTCAACACTTTCGGCCAAGTGAAGCAACTCTTTAGCTCTACCGCTATTTTCATTCTGTAGCGGTGTAGGTTCTTGTACTTTTTGGAATATCAATGGCTTTAGCCCGAGCTCATTTTTCAATATTTCCCGAATGAAATTTTGCGATATGTTCAGATCACGAGCCATTTTTCGGCCACTGTGACGTGGTTTTCGATCAAGGCGCTTTTTTACTTTTCGAACAATTTTTGCTGTTTTCTTCTGTCCACTTCCTTGACGTCGGTACTGAGCGATGGTACGAGACTGAGCGAAGGTACGAGACACAAAAGATTTATTCACATTTAAATGCTGGAGTGCTCTAGCGATAGCCACTTGCGGTTTTCCACCCAAATATAAAGAAATCACGCTTGAATTCCATCACAAATAAGTTTTTTTCTGGAAAATTCTTCGATTTTTCATATCACCCTATATGTCAAATTCCATTGAACCGAAGACATTAAAATGTCGAATATATGAAGGTTTGGGCTATACGAAAACGTAGATCTCTATGAAATATTTTCTGAAAGAAATATAATTAGCCATTTTGAACTTAAAGTGCCGTATTTCTTTGAAAAATTGAACTAAAATCGAAAAAAAAAAAAAACAAAAAAAAAATTTTTTGTGGGTACTATTAAATTGGGTCTATACAACATAGTAGTCTTGAGTAGCCTGCCCATAAAAAGATCTTTATACGAAACACTCTCTTCCTACCCCAATTCGTTTGGACGCGAAATGGTAAAAAAATGTACCACCACTTCCTTATTTAAAGGTTAACTTTTCATCCGAAACATGTTTCCTTATGTAAAATAACAGCGTACCTTTAAGGAGGGCAAATAGTACTTTATCTGCTTTTAATGTCATACAGACATTTGTTTATATTCGTACCCTGGTTTCACATGAAAATACAAGCGCCATCTGTATGATATTTGCCCACAACATATCCCATCGTCTCGTAATGTACAGTACTTTGCAAAGCAACACTGTGCCATCTCGATTTGTTTACCAAAAATTTATTTATTGACAAAAACGTGCTCCTTTGGCTTTAGTTGGCTTTGATAAATCCTCGATTTTTAAGTGAAAATGAAGTTAAGCACCTATAATTTCCTTACCTCCAAGGCCATTAAGGGCGTCAAAGTCGGCTACCCCTTGAAATTGACGGTAAATATCAAAAATGAGTTTCTTTCTGTGTGTCCAAACTTATTTATACGATTTGCTCCTCCCTTAGATTGCCAAGAAAGATGTTGTGGAAACAGAATTTAATCCCACCTTTATTGAGCGACTGTTGCCAAAATTGGATTGGAATACCGTGTATTTGGCAGCACAAACTGTATGTTAATAGGGTTTTGTAGTTTTCCCAAGATTTTTCCACGAAAAAGTTTTTGTTTCATTGCTGTTTTCCCTCAAACAGGTCGACTTAGCCGATGACATACCCCAGGAACAGCCAGCCGCCGTTGCAGACAATGAAGAGCTCTTGCAAAGACTACATCATCTCCTGCTGGAAATTGATGTCTTGGAGGGACAATTGGAATGCCCTGAAACGGGTCGAGTATTTCCCATAACAGATGGCATACCAAATATGCTCTTGAATGAAGATGAAGTTTAGTTGCGCATAGTCGCCGTTCGGCATTTAAATATTTGTAGAAGATTTGTTACATTTTAATTACCAATAAGTTAAGGATATTAATAGTGAATCATCGAAAGGACATTAAATTTGGTTTTATTGATGTATTTGATGAAGCAGTGCAAATGAGGATATGTGTGTGAGGATGATGTCATCATGGAATGAGACAGTTTAGTTTACAAGGAAAGACAAAGTCGTAAGTGGATCGAAGGAGCAAGTAAAATGAAAAAATATTCCTACATGGTTGCAAAGCAATACAATATCGGTCCCCTCAGCCAGTGAGGCTGAAAAACGTTAGGCGCAGTAGCAATGAATATCCTTAATAAAATACAGAATTGTTTTGCAGAAATTTCGTGATAAGGTGATTTTACAATGGTCTGCATCGTTTTTGGTTTGAAGATGGTCTCTAATTAAACAGTAAAGGACTATTTTCGCTACCACACATGCCACAAAATCAGCTGCAATATGACATTAAAGGCTATTTATGGTTAAGCTCTGCTCTCGCAGTATCTCCGGATATTCTCTACTTTGGCATTTATTTGGTTTATGGGATGAACATTTACATAAATTTTTAATTTTGGTCCGACCGTTTTAACCTCTCAAGCGAAGTGGTTGTAATTTGGTATTTTGAGAAGTTAGTGGAAAATAAAACAATCACCCATAGCTTTTTTCAATTTAGGTCGAGATATTGGAATTTCCTCGCTGAACGATTCCTACACCCCAATTATAGCCATTTTGAAGGTCCTAACAATTTGTTCAATATCAAATGTAAGAATTTGACACTTTTAGTCCAAACTTTGACACAAACTTCTAAAAGTGGCACTCACCGTCCGATTTAAAATGCTTTAAGCACATGTCCATGTCGAAGCGGCTTTAATTTGTTATTTAAAAATCTTAGTGAACGGATACCATACTGGCAAAATTTGTTCAATTAATGAAGAAATTTTTCGTACAAACATAGGACGTATTTCCGAAACCATCACCAGATACCAACAGACACGTCAATATTAAGTTTGCGGTAACCCACAACAAGATATCAAGACCAAATACAACAGAGACCTCACATCAAATTTGAGAATTCCATCTGTTTCCCTTCACCCAATACCAACTAAGTACCACTTGGTAATTTTCGAACAATTATAGCAGACATTTCCGAACCCACCTACATACCACTGACACCAACAGAGACCTCAATATCAATTTTCGGGATTCCAGCTCTTCCAACTCCAGATACCAACAGAGTCCTCACATCAAATTTGAGGATCCCAGCCTTATTCCTTCAACCAATACCAAATTTAGTACCATTTAGTAATTTTCGAGTAATTTTAGTATACATTTCCAAACCCACCTCCATATCTCAACCACAGACACCAACAGAGACCTATATATCAAATTACGGGATTCCAGCCCTATTATTTCATGCAATACCCAAATAAGTACCATTTATTTTATTTATTCATTAAATAAATACCGAAATAGCCCCTCAATTATTGGTATCTTCAAGGTTCTAGCCATATTATCCAACTGGAAATTAAAGACATCTAATTTGGCAATTATTTATATTTGATCATAGTTGATAGTATAAAAGGTTATTCTCTGCCGATTTTTTATATCCTCCACCATAGTATGGAGTGCACCGTTTGTAATACCTCGAAGTATACATTTTAGACCCCACAAAAATATATATATCTTGATCAGCATAAAATTCTATGTCGATTTAGCGATGTCCGTCCGTCTGTGGTAATCACTCTAGCTTCCGAACGAAAGGAATTAGATTGATTAAATTTTACTAAAATGTATATTATGTTTGCAGGACTTTTGGTATTGGAAACGGGCCATGTAGATTCACGTTTTGGTATAGTCTCCATATAATGGTACCTCCATATTTTCGGTATTTTTAATTAAGCGACATTATTCACCGGAATTGCTTCAAATTTGATAGTTGAAGTTCGTAATGGATACTACTGCATATGAGAGAAAACTGTCAGTGCATATCCACGTCTTTGTAAAGCTCCCAAATAACGGTCTCCCCTATATTCGGTATTTTTGTTTCAAATTTGGTATTTGAAGTTTGTAAGGGATATAATGGTACCTGCAGATATTCGGTGTTTTGATGAATTTAGCTACATTATTAACCAATTTTTTTCGCATTTGAATGGCTTATGACCAAAGTTGCCTATGTAGGTCCACGTCGGTATTTTTAAAATTTCTACAGAGTTTTTAACCGAATTTTTTTTTTTGAAAATTGCCAAATTCGTTCCAAATGGTGGAGGGTATTCAAAGTTCGGCTCGGCCGAATTTCATCCCTTTTTATTTTTTTTTTAATTTTCATTATTTGCGTAGGAGGTCCCAGAGGAAGAAAAATCGGTGACATTTTCATATTTTATAAGAGTAATGGATTTTCAAAGATTTAATCCTGCGAGGAGTAGGAAATTTAATCAGGCAATTTCTTACACTTTTTTTCGTGTATGACTTAAGAGAAATTGACGATTTGTCTGTGAAGTACCACAAAGAGTGGTCAGATGTATTACATTTTTACAGTGGTTTTAAAATAGGCAAATATGTAGGAATATACTAAATTCTATAAAAAAAATCAAGCTGTAGTTTGATCTTTTATCGGGAAGGGAAGATCAGGCTACATATATTTCCCATTTTTTGGACATAAATTTCACACAGATTTTTCAACCTCTTACCGGCCGCTTAATATTATACCTTTAAGTATTGTTCGTTCTCTTTTAGTTCGAAATTTAATCCGGCTGTCAGTTTGTTCGTCAACCTTACGTTTTTATTAATATGGATTATTTTGTGTAAAATCCAAAATATTTTTAACATACAAAAATTATGTTTAATCGCAACAATCTATGAACAATACAAATTTTTACCATCTAGGGCAACCAGAAGTAACAACTTTACATCGCGATAACATTAAATTCACCGGAAATGGTCTAATGCACAACCAATTGTGACAACGAAGTCTTCGATAGGCCTAATACCCCACTAAACCACATTTCCATAAAAGTTACTGTTGAAACACCTTCCATTGATCCATTTTGATCGAATGCGGAAGAGTTTGTGAATGAATTTTGTGGTGCTATCAAAAAAAGCCCTTTACAAAAAAATCAAGCCTATTGTCTAAGTGTTTTTTTTTTTTTTGGTTATTGTCATTGACTGTGTTTATTGTCAAATTAACATGTCATCTACTTCATTGTGTCACTTTGAACCATAAAAGGGCATAAATAATTCTAATTGAATTTAAAAATGAATTAATGAATGGACGAATTAGTTAGCTAGGAAGGCGTGTTTCAGACGACCTTTAAGACTTGCTTTTGCTATGGAAAGACACAAGTTGGGGTCTTCAAAAGCCTTCAATCTCTTTGAGACTTTTATGAGATGATACAAATAATAGAAGGGCTTTAAGAAGTTATATTATTGCATATAGTTTTACAATAAGTTTTAGCTATTTTAGCCTGAAGAAGGTGTTATTTGAGATTTCATGTTAATTGAAGGCCTTCATGAGGGTTTCAAGGAGTATTTACCAATTGAATACCTTCAGATAGTTATCTACCTAAATAAGCTTTGTGCGAAGTTTTCATACCCTCCAGCATAGTATGGAGGGCATATTAAGTTTGTCATTCCGTTTGTAACACCTCTATATATACATTTTAGACCCAAAAAGTATATATATTCTTGATCAGCATAAAATTTTATGTCGATTTAGCGTCTGTCTTCCCGTCTATCCGTCTGTGGAAATCACTCTAGCTTCCGAACGAAATGAAGTAGGTTGATAAAATTTTACTCATATATATATTATGTCTGCAGGATTTTTGGTATTGAAAATGAGTCATGTAGGTCCATATTTTGGTATAGCCCCCCTATAAGGGTACCTCCCTATTTTTGGGATTTTTTAAGCGACTTTATTTACCGGAAATGTTTCAAATTTGGTTTTTGTAGTTCGTAATTGGTACAACATCCGTGCAAGTCCACGCTTCGTACAACGGCACCTCCTGATATTCGGCATTTTAATGATTTTAGCGACATTATTTACCGGAATTATTTTAAATTTAGTATTTAAAGTTCGTAATGGGTACTACAGCCCATGAAAAAAAAAATTCGTAAGCAGATCCACGTCTTCGTATAGTTTCCATATAGTCTCCATATAACAGTTTTCATTTAAGTGGTAGTTTTCGGAAGTTTTTTTTTGAAAATTTTCAAAAGCCCAGGCGAACTTATCTGTTTTTATACCCTCCACCTTTGAAAGGAGGGTATATTAACTTTGTCATTCCGTTTGTAACATCCTTAAATATTCGTTATAGACCCCATAAAGTATATATATTTATAATCAGCATAAAATTCTAAGTCGATTTAACGATGTCCGTCTGTCTGTCTGTATGTTTGTCCGTCTGTCTGTCTGTCCGTCTGTCTGTTGAAATCACGATACAGCCCACATTATTTGACGTAGATCGCCAAAATTTAGCAGAGCAATTTGTATTGTTTCTAGGATGGTTGGTACTGAAAATGAGATATATCGGTCCACGTTTGGGTATAGTCCCCATATAACGGTACCTCCCGATATTCGGTGTTTTGATGATTTTTGCCACATTTTTTCACGGATTTGTCTTAAATTTGGTATTTGTTGGTCAAAATGGGTGTAGGTTATAATGGGTCTTAGTTCATGTGGCGAGTCATTTGGTATAGCCCCCATGTAAAGGTAACTCCCCATATTGGGTATTTTGCTTATTTTTGCCACATTTTTTCACTGATTTGTCAGAAAATTGGTATTTGTAGGTCATATGGGGTCCTAGTTTGTGTGGCGAAACATTGTATGTATAGATCAACGTTTTGGTATAGTCCCCAGATATTCGGTATTTTGATGATTTTTGCCACATATTGTGACCAAATATCGTGATATATATATATATATATATATATATATATATATATATATATATATATATATATATATATATATATATATATATATATATATATATATATATATATATATATATATATATATATATATATATATATATATATATGTTTCATCCGATTTTGTTTTTAAGTCTCCTACACCCGTAAAATGCTCCCCACAATAACGATATTTGTTCCCAGCTATCAAATGCAACATAGAAATTCCTCTGCTAGTTTTTTTTATGGAGATTGGTTCAGATTTGGATATAGCTCCCATATATGTATATCATCATCCGATTTCACTTCGTGCCTATAAAGCTGAAATAAGATGGTTTTGATGAATATGGGCTCAGTACGTCAGATTTAGTAGAAATCGATTTAGAGTAGGATATACTTCCATATATTACTTCCTTTCGGCTTTAAATGATATCTGATTCAAAGCCACAGCTCTGGGTTAGCTCTACTAAATATAAAAATTGGTGTAGGGTATCATAAAGTCGGTTCCGCTCGACTTTGGACCTTACTGGTTTTATTTTGTCTTATAAGGATTTTAAAATTGCAACATTTTTGCCCCTAGGAAATGAGAAATATTTAAAACAAATAAGCAAAGGCTATAGTGGTGCGGGGCCGACCATGTGACATCCTACAACACTACAATATGTTCGAAGTCCCCTTATATCCAAATCCATTTTTGGAAGATTTAGTTTTTGAAATAATGCCAGAGAGATCTGCCCAGAGTTTGCCCTTAGGTTTTGGACCCGGAGAATTTGGCCAAAATTTACGCACTCCATAGTGTTGTTAAGTATTCAAAATAATTCCACACGAAAATTGTGGTCCATTTTACAGCTAAACATAATCTAATGGCCATCCAACATGCTAGACTTCTTCCCTGCCCTAAACTCTCTTCCGATGCGAAATTCCATGTCGATTAGTTTTCAATTGTGGCCTATAGAGCGACTACAAATTACAAAAAATTAAATTTTTTAGTACATCATAAGAACATTAGGCTTCAATTCCGACGCTACCCCCATGCAAAATTTCGTGAGGATCGGACGATAATTGCGACGTAGATATAATACCCTCAGAACGTAGTGTTGGGGGGTGTAAAAATTTAGAAAATTTAAAATTGTAAATCAAATTGAAAAAATCGCATGCGATAAAAAATATGACAGAAATGGCAAAAAATGAAAGAAAAGATATAACTTTTTTATTGGTATATTATCCCGCGATTTTTTTAGATTTTATGCTTTCCTGGCAAGAGACCATTCCGAATTGATGGGAATTGTGAAAATCGGCCTAGCGGTTCTTGATTTATAAGCCGAATAAATAAGATCAATATTTATACATATATATTATACTAATTTTGCTATATATCCGATTTCTTGGCTATTGGCATCACTTAGTGGTCAGAAGTGATCTTTTAATGTATTTGTGATTTGGCTGGGATTAAAAATATTCGCGGTTTAGTGGAAATTTTTCTATTTTCTAACATAAACTTAGGGTCTATTTTACCCGCTAATTACTGTCCGATGACCGCCCAAATTGGCAGGTTTCTGCCAGTCCCAAACTCTAACTCCATGTAAATTTTCGCGTCGATTGGTTCATAATTGTGGCCTATAGAGCAACTGCAAAATTAGGAAAATTTTCTGTTTTTGGTTCATTTTAGCCCCTAAATATCGTGCAATCATCTCCAAAAACAATAGGGTTCTATTCTGACCCTAACCCCACCCCCATTTTCAATTTCGTGAGGACCGGTTCATAATTGCGACCTGTAGCTTGATTATAAATTAACATGGACATATGGACGGACATGCATATCCAGATCGACTCAGCTCGGCGAGATAGGCAGATCCATATATACTTTCCTATGTGGGAAACCAATATTTCGAGGTGTTACATAATTTTTGGCCCAATCAAACTTATGATACCCCAACACATAATGTTGTAGGGTATAAAAAATCATATTCCAAAACAATACATATTTAAATAAATAGAAAAAATTCAACACAGTGTTTTTTTTTGGTTTTTATTTCATTTGAAATAGATTTTTATTTAAAATTTTATTTTTATTTTTCATAAATTTTTGCTTTTTGTTTTCTTTTTTTATAATGAGCTTAACAATTAATAAATTTCTGCGATTTAGATACTGATTACAAGTTGCTTGCTTTGTTTCTGTTGTTTTTTTTTTCATATTTCCATTGGACATACATACATATATTTGGAAAAAAATACATACATACATATATAGCTTTGAATTTGGGTTTTCCCACTTTTCTTTCGAGGCGTAAAAATGTGATATTTTTAATTTATTTGTCAAAAATTCCAATGCCAGTAAAATAGAGTTTTGTATATAAAAAATATTTGATTTCTTTTTTTTTTTTGTAATTTTATATTCTCAAAGAGATTGGTATTAATTGTCTGTTTGGTAGGTTTATTTTTTTTCATTATTTATTTATTTTAATTATTACTTAAATTGTAGAGCTTATTTAAGAACAGAAAAACGAAATTCTATAATTATTAGTTTGGTAAAAAAGGAAATAAAATACACAAAAAATATATCCATTAAAAATAATAATTAACTTGTAAAAAAATCTTTTGTAAAAAAATAAAAGTAATAATAATAATAAAAAAATATTATAGATGGCAGACTATTTGAACACAAATAGATGTTTTCTGGTTGTTTGATTGTGGGGTTTTCATTTTTTACTGTTTTAGGGGGAAATATGGGGTATTTGGTTATTTTTCTTTCACAAAAACGGGGAGAGGGGTTGCTATTTTTTTATTAAAAAAAAAAATCAACTATAAAAAATATCTTAAGTTCCGTTATTGAAATTGTAACAGTTCAAAAAATTAGTTTGTGTTTTTATTTTTAAATGTAAAAAAGATTTAGAATTTTAGTTTAGTATAGCAATTCGTCCCAGAATTGTTTTATGGGAGGTTGTCTCATTAATATTACAGGGCCAACATTGCCCGGTGCATAGCATTCAAAAAATAAAGCGCATAACATCACGTTCTTCTCAAAATAACAGAAAGAAGTCAAAGAAGTCGAAACTCTAAAGTTCTTTCGGACGGTCTTCTATAAAAATTTTACCCTCCATTGGATTTTTGCAGGTCTTCTTCTCTTTGTAGACTTCTGGGGGTCATTGAATACATAAAACTCCTTCCAAAGACTCCGGTTATAGAATGAATATTGAGAGTATTTTTTTTACTCATGGAAAACTTCTTGAGGGTTTTTAATCACAAAGGACCACCTGAGGTTTTTCCATTCTAAAAATGGAAGAACGGTGGACTTCTATTCTCCGACCATGCCTTAAGAATGGCTATTCACTGAAACCCTCTTACGAGTCTTATATTTACTGAAAGCCTCTCGGAGTTTTTTTTTTTCAGAAGGCCTATTGAGGATCTTCAATTCTCAAATATATCTTCTGGGCAATCTCATCTTTTGAAGGTCTTCTCTTCACCGGAAAACTATTTTGGGCCTTCTATTCACAGAGGGGTAAGTTTGTGTTCGTCAATTAGAAGAAATCTTAAAGAATTTCTACTTATAGAAGAGTTCCTTCGACCCTGTTAAACTTTAACAGATAGATGAACTTCAAAAACTCTTTTAGCTATAGGAGAACCTCAGAAACCGATGACGCATTTCTGCAGATTTTCTGGAATCTTCTACTTATGGAAGAGTTCCTTCGACCCTGTTAAACTTTAACAGATAGATGAGCTTCAGAAAGCCTTCTAGCTATAGGAGAACTTCAGAAACCTCTGAAGCCTTTCTGCAGATTTTCGGGGGACCTGGGCAGAAAGAGGAGGTCCATAGACCCATATGTAATTAGAAGGTTCTAAAACTCTACTAGAAAGATAAGAGCTTCGGAAGCTTTTGAGGTCTTTCGGCAGATGGAAGTATTCTTTAGGTTCTTCACTTCTGAAAATGGAACAATGGTGGTCCTCTATTCAAAGACCAGCTCTTAAGGGTGGATATTCATTGAAAGCCTGTTAGGAGTCTTATATTTTTTGAAAGCCTCTCGGGTTTTCATTTCTTCACAGAAGGCCTATTGAGGATCTTCAATTCTCAAAAATATATCTTCGGTGCCCTCTCATCTCTCTTAAGCGTCTTCTTTTCACCGGAAACCTATTATGGCCCCTCTATTCACAGAAAGTCTCTTGGGGGTGTTTTTGGGTATAAAAAGCTATGTTCGTAAATTCGAAGAGATCTTAAAAACCTCTATAGACAGAAAAGTTCCTAGGACCCTTCTATGCTTAAAGGAAATTCTATTACGCTTAAATAGATATATGAGCTTCAGAATCTCTTCAAGCTATAGGAGAACCTCAGGAACCTCTGAAACCTTTCTGCAGATTTTCTGGGGATCTTCGAAGCTCGACTGTGTATAGAAAAACACCTGAATACCACAAATGGAATAAAGGAGATTTTAAAGTTCTTCTTAAAATATAGCAGCTTTAAAAGCTCTTTTGTAAATAGAAGATTTTATAAGGCTCTTCTGTAAATAAAAGAGCTTCTAAAACTGTTCTCTAAATAAAATAACTTCTACAGCTCTTTTATAAAAATATGAAGTTATGAAGCTTTTTACGAACAGATGAGCTATTAAGACCTTACTACGCTTTAATGGATAGATGAGTTTCGGAATCTCGTCTAGTTATATGAGACCCCCAGGTACCTTTGATGCTTTTCTGCAGATTTTCTGGCGATCTTATGTAGGTGAGGAGGTCCAGGGTCGCATATGTAGTTAGAAGAGCTTCTAAAACTCGACTAGCTAAAAAAGAGCCTCGAGAGCTTTTTAGGTGTTTCTACAGATGCAAGTTTTCCTGAGGTTCTTGCATCAGTAAAAGAGGTCCTGAGGCATATCTGTAGTTAGCAGAACTTCAGAAGCTCTTCCAGCTATAGAAGAGCTTTCCAAGCTCTCCTGTGTATAGAAGAACTCCTGAATATTATCGATGGATAAATGGGATTCTAAAGCTTTTAAAAAATATAGCAGCTTTGAAAGCTCTTCTATAAATATAATGTTATCCCAGGAAAGCTCTTTCATAAATAGAAGAGCTCCTAAAGCTCTTCTAAAAATGCAGGAGCTCTGAAAGCAATTTTGTATGTCGCGAATCTCTACTAAATTTTAAGAAGTTTTTGTAAGCTTTCAATGTCTAAAAAAGTTCATGGATAGAAGCTTTTTTATACCCAAACGATTTTATGGCCAGAAGGGTTTCAGAAGCTTTTGTATGTATAGAAGATTTTGTGAAGCTTTGGATGGATGCAAGATCTGGAGAAGCTCCTTAACATTTCTAAGCTGCTATGGATAAGGTAGTCCTCAAAGCTACCTTATAGATAAAAGCGTGTCTAAGAATCTCCATTAGAGTTTTTGTAGACAGGAAGCCTCCTGGAGAACTTTTATTCCTTTAGATCCTCCTCTATAGATAATATATCTCTTGAAACTTCTACATGTAGGGGGACCTCATCCACGTTCCAAGGTTGCCACATTTCTGAAGTTCTATAGACAGAAAAAGCACATAAAGCTTATCAATAGATAGTAGAGTTCAAAAAGCTTTTTTAGATAGAAAAGGTTAAACAGTTATTTTAAGGAAAAATAAAACTCTCATAAAGCTTTTCTATATATAGAAGTCCGTATATAGCTTTTCCATAGATACAATAACTTATAAAGCCTTATCCATATGGAAAAGCTGATGATGCTCTTCTTTAAATGGAAAAACTTGTTAAATAAATAAAATAATAGATAAGCTCTTAAAGCTCTTGTTTCGAAAGAAAAGCTATTGAAGCTCTTTTAAAAATAAAAGGGCTCATAACGCCTTTTTAAAATAGAAAATCTGATAAAGCTCGTCTCAAAGAAAAAAAGCTCTTGAAGCTCTTCCATAGATGAAAAGTATCTCTCTTTGGCTCTCTTATTCTATTCTATAGATAAAAACCGTCTTCCACCTTGCCTGGGTACAAAACCCCTCCTGAAAATTCTACGATAGATTAAAAGTCTACTCCAGCTTTTCTATTTATCTTGAAGCTTTTTTAGGAACAGAAGACCTCCTGCAGCTTTTCTATTTTTGTTTTCTAAAGGAAGTTTTCCTGAAACCTATTTTTTTGAGATATATGAGATATATAGAGCGCCTATCGACTTCCTTGACCTCCTTCTCTAACTTATTTTTTCCCTCTTTAAAATCTTAAAAAACAAAAAAAAAAAATATTTCTTCTTATTTTAATGTATTGGTGGTCTCTGTGTATGTGTGTGTATTTGTTGGTTTGTATGTTTTGTATGTTTCTGAGTGTATGGGTGGATGGTTTGCATTCTGTAGCTTAAATAGTTTGTTTTCTTTCTGGTCTTAATTATTAAATTATTATTTAATATCTAAATTGTCCCTTCTTTCCGCGTTCATTGTGGTACACACGTAGCGGGGAATAACTGCTGCCATTGCCATTGCCGGGAGCATTTAACACACCGGCGGTGCTGCCATTACCGCCGCCACCCGCACCATTGGCAAACGTTTGGGAGGCTGAGCCAGACATAAGATCATCGAGATGGACCGGTTTGGCTGCACATCTGGGAGCCAATATCAGATTGTAAATGACAAAATAGGTAAGGGCCACAATGCAGGCCACCACGGCCAACCATTCGAATTTAATGCAATCATCTTCGGTGTAGAAACTAGACTCATCTTCATGGACCAAACTGATGAGGGCCCCAAAACCTTTGCCCAGACCAAAGAAAGCCACAATGGCAATGGCCTGGCCTGTGGCTGTGAGTTTGCGTGGCATGGCATGACGCATATACAGGATAATGGTGATCCAAATAATGCCAATGATGACGGGTTCAAAGATTTCCATTAGATTCGTCAACCATTTAGTGTCCACACTGGCAAAGGCTGTGAAACGGATGATATACATGGCAAAACCGGCAATGAATATGTTCGAATGGCCACAGTATTCAATGAATTTATCCACATTCAGGAAGAGTACCAAAACCAGCAGCAAACTGCCAAAATAGACTGCATACTCGCCAATGAAGGACCAATACAAATAGGCATGAATGCTACCCCAGAAGGTACCAAACAAAATGGCCACCAGGGTCAGGACAAATATCTCCGGGCTATATTTTCGTATGGCTGACATGGGATATACCAGCATGCCGGTCTTGGTGTGCCACCACCACTCGGGAGGACTCAAAGGCATTTGAGAGGCAAACAGCAGGACAGCAGAACCAATCAGGAAGCAGATGATCAAGACAATTAGGACAATATCCACTCCATCAATGTCATCGAAGATCAATTTAAGGGGACTGAAGAGAAGGACATAGCCCACAGCACCCCAGGCATATTGGCGACACACTTCACCACGTCCCTCGGAGGTTTCACGTACAGCAATCACAATTGCGGTGTTGAGCAGGGTAAACGAGGCCAGGGCAAAGATGTCACCCAAAATCCTAATGGCCATGTAGCCACCCATGGTGACATCAATATCTCCCGCAGTGCTGACACATTCGGTGTGGGCCATCAGACCACCCTTGGTGTGATAGGGATTCCTCACCTGGCACTCAATCATGGGGGTGCAGTCGGAACCATTCTTGACCTCCAGCATGTAGTTGACCTGTTGTGTGGGTATGTGGCACTGGAAGCCCTCTGAAAAAGAAAACGAAAAACAATTAATTTTTGTTCTCCCCCTCCCCATCTCCCCTGAACTTACCCAAAGGATAATGGCACCACTCCGCCGAATGAGTCTCATTCTCGACATTTGTGGCAGCATGCATGACAGTGTGGACATTAATGCTCACCGTATCATCCGTATAGACATGACAGTTCTTAATATAATCATTACCACTCTCATCCTTGGCGGTCATACAGATGTGAGGTGGTTCGACATATACCTTACTTGGAGCCGATTTGGCGGCCCTTGTCTTCCTGGCATTTACCTCAGCACTAATCAATTCTCCACCTCCAAATTCCCCAGACTGCTCAGCACTACGCCTGGAACGCAAACTCTCCGTAACCGCTGTCGAGGCATCATCTTCATAATCAAACTCCGAACTATGTTCCGTCGATGGCGAGGGGGTGGGTATACTCTCCAGCCAAGGGGTGTACATATTCTCATATTGATTGGGATTTTGACAGGTATACGTGCAATTGGTCAGATCCAAACTACCAACTTTCTTATCCCAATGACGACAGCTGGATTCACCGCCACAACTTTCCTGGAACATCACCGCACCATTGGAATCGCAGGCAAAACTCACTGGAGGCAAATGATCCTCCTGACGAGCCACATTCGGCACCGCAATAAGACAGGCATAAATTATACTCGTAATAATCAGGCAGATTGCGGTGAGAATGCGTAGGAAACGACCAAAGCTATTGGGATTTTTGGCCGCTACCCGATCGGCCAAGGGGCCAACAATTAGAGGTCCTATAATCGCCACAAAGGAGGCGATAATTGTAATCTCACGATACTCGGAGAAATAGAGACCCAATTTCAAGGGTTTCTGGCTGTTCACAATGTGCAACGCGGTGAGACCTGAAATGAAAGGGGAAGAGGTGAGAATTCCGCAGTTATATCAGAGACTTTTTAATCAAACATTAAGGATTTTCGGTACAATATTTTAAGGATTTTTTCTGCAATAATGGAAATATGGAAAATTATTTCATGGGCCTGCTCATATTTTAAGAATTTTTCTTTCAGAGATCTCCTAACCAAAAACTGCAAATGTTTTTAGGAAAATCATTTCCAGGAAATTCTGAGGTATAATCATACATTTTTAATAATTTCTTTTTAGGAGACCCTCACACTAATCGTAAATTTTTATGCCCTCAACCATATGCCTACGTAGGGTATATAATTTGATATGGCCAAAACGTGCCTAATCGAAATAACGGTTTTAGACCCTAGGTCTCTTTGGACCAAATCCATTTTAGGGGATTTGGAGTCGATCTAGGAGTGTCTGCCTGGCCGGCTGATGGCCACGATAACTCTCGAAGATAGTATCCGATTTGGTACATTGTAATATTCTTATCAAACATAGATCGAGTTCGGAGATATCGGTCCAATCCATCTGGTACCTCCCCCACAAAAAAAAAAAAAAAAAAAATCACAGAAAAAATATACCTTGAAAAACAAGAAAGGACCATCCAAATTTTGCAAATCTTAATATTTGTGTCAGTTCTAGGTCAGGTGGGAAAATGGACAATATCGGCCTATTTCTTCTGGTATCTCCCCCACAAAGGGTCAACATTTTGAATAATTATAACTCTTATAAAATGTAAAATACGTGTCCAATTGTCTTAAAATTTCGCATATCTCAATATTTCTGCTAAGGAATGTATCGGTCCACTATTTCTGGTACCTCCCCCACAAAGGGGTTAAAATTTTAAATAACCAAAACGCGAATTTATTGAGGAATATGCGTTAGATCCTTTCTAAACTGTGCATATATCTATATTTCTATCAACACAAGGTCAGATATGAAGAATGAAGAGAACGGACCTCTCTCTCTGGTACCTTCCCCACAAAGGAGTCAAAATTTTGAATTATTTTGAATTGTCTTCAAATTTTACACATCCCAATATTTCTGCTAAAACCAGATCTTCCGTGAACATGGGATACATTGGTTCAGACTTTCTGGTACCTTCCCCACAAAAAGGATAAATAGCAATAAATCTCCTAGAACACGAAAGATGCAACCGATTCCTTTTTAAAATCAGCACATACATTTTTAACAAGACAAGATCAGGTATAAAGATGGAATATATCGGTCCACTACTACTGGCACCTCTCCCACAAATCTTGAATCACCAAAACACTCAAAACATGCCAAATAAGCAACTGATTGTTATCCAATTTCACACATCGCAATATTTCTTCGAAAACAAGATCTGATGTGAAGATGATACATATCTGCCCACCCTTTCTGGTACCTCCCCAACAAAGGGTCCTAATTATTAATAGTGACTGATTGAAAATCAACGCCTAGACGAATGTGTACTATGATGTGTACTATAATTGTTCGAAAAGTACCAAATGGTACTAAATTTGGTATCGAGTGAATGAAATCCCGAAATTTGATATTGGGATCACTGTCGTTGGGTGTCTGTGTCTGAAATGACAGCAGTCTGAAGTTGGTTGCAGTTTTTTCATCTCTCTCACCCTGTATGTACTATAATTGTACGAAAAGTACTAGTAGTACTCGTGAGCTGAACATATCGCAATACTCCATTCGGCAAATATTGAATAATCAAAAATTAGATCGGAGTAAAGCCAAGGAAATTCCAAAAAGTTCAAGAACTTACACCGCAACAGAAAGATAATAGACTCAAAAGAGCTAAAGAGTTGCTTCGCTTGGCCGAAAGTGGTGAACTGCCGAATTTGTTTTTCTCCGATGAGAAAACATTCGTTGTCCAGCAGTTTGTAAACAATCAGAATGATCGTGTTTACTTGCCAAAGATGTCAGCTGAAAATGTGCACCTTCGGTTGGCCGGCCATGGTGATGGTGTATGCCGCCATAACAGCCGATGGTCGCTTTCCGCTCGTATTAATCGTCCGTGGCATCAGAATAAATGCCGAATATTATCGTGAAAATATTCTGGAAGGTGTATTAAAGCCTTGGGCATGCAAACATTTTGACCACAGATCTTGGACATTCCAACAGGACTCAGCACACGCCAAACAAAAATGGTTACAAAATGAGGTTCCTCGCTTCATTTCCAGCGCACAATGTCCATCAAAATCTCCGGATACCAATCAGTTGGACCATTATGTCTGGTGTATTTTGGAAAGCAAGGTTGGCACTAAAAAATATCAAAGTCTCGATCACCTCAAGCAAGCGCTTAGCCGGGAATGGGCCAAAATACCGCAGAGCAACATTCGGGCAACGTGTGACGGTTTCTTGGGCCATTTGAAGCCCATAATTCGTGCCAAAGGTGACCAATTCGAACAAATCTAAACTTATTCTAAAATTTGATGCTATTTCCGACATGTTTTGCTTTCATTCAATTTGAAAAAAATGTAAAAATTATGGAGTTTGACTTTGTTGCAGTTTTTATACCCTCCACCATAGCATGGAGATTAAGTTTGTCATTCCGTGTGTAACACCTCGAAATATACATTTTAGACCCCACAAAGTATTCTTGATCAGCATAAAATTCTATGTCGGTTTAGCGATGTCCGTCCGTCTATCCGTTTGTGGAAATCACTCTAGCTTCCGAACGAATTGAAGTGGATTGATAAAATTTTACTCAAATGTATATGTCTGCAGGACGTTTGGTATTGAAAATGGGCCATGTAGGTCCACGTTTTGGTATAACCCCGATATAACGGTACCTCCCGATATTCGGTATTTTGACGATTCTAGCGATAATATTCATCGGAATTGTTTCAAATTTGGTATTTGAAGTTCGAAATGGATACTACAGCCTAAGACAGAAAATTGTCTGTGCAGGTCCACGCCTTCGTATAGCCCCCATATAACGGTACCTCCCGATATTCGGTATTTTGATGATTTTTGCCACATAATTCACCGGAATTCTTTCAAATTTAGTATTTAATGTTCGTAATAGATACTACAGCCTATGACAGGAGATATTCTGTGCAGGTCCACGTCTTCGTATAGCCCCCATTTAACGGTACCTTCCAATATTCGGTTTTTTTTATGATTTTGGCAACATTATACACCGGAATTGTTTAAAATTTGGTATTTGAAGTTCGAAATGGATACTACAGCCTAAGACAGAACATTGTCTGCAGCTACATTATTCACCGATTTTTTATAATATATGTGACAAAAGTTCCATGTCGTCGTATAGACCCTAATATATCAGCTACATTCGGTATTTTTAAGATTTCAACAGAATTTTTAATGGATTTTATTGTTTTTAAGAATTGCCAAATTCGCTCCAACTGGTGTAGGGTATTTAAAGTTCGGCCCGGCCGAACTTACAGCTTTTTTTCTTGTTTTATCTCACCCTGTAGCTCTCATATATTTTTTTCATTCGATTTCAAGTTTATTGTGTTTATTAAACTTTTTCAATTAAAAAAAATATTTTTAAAAATTTTTTATTTTAAATTGAAAATTTTTTATATTACCAAAATAACTTTTAATTATAAAAAAAATCAAGAAAATATATTTTTTTTACTTACCACTCAAAACAAAGAATGCCACGACCTTGAGGGATATAAGAGTCTTATTGACTCTGGGCTTTGTGGCTCCCATGATGAAAGCTATGCTGTCTTGGCTTTTACTATGCTCCGATTTCAATAACTAATTTAATAATTGGACTTAAATTGGTTGGAGTTTGGTAAAATGGAAGAGAGTTACTAGCTCTCCTGTTGGTGATTAGGGGACAATTTGGGGAATTAGTAGCTCTTTCGTTTCGGTGGTGCTGTGTAAATTGCTTTCATTCAAACGTTCCGAATAGAAAATCTGCAAAGAGAGGGAAGAAAAGAGTTTGTAATTAGTAAGGTATTCAAAAGGGAGATTTAATATGTTTAAAATTAGGAAGAGAAGGAGAAAGCACTTATATAGGATATTATAGTAATAGAAGAGGTATAGCTCTAAAGGAAGGTCTATAGATGAATTATTTCCATCTTTAAAAATCCTACTAAAGGTCTTATTCTGATAGAATACCAATCGAAATTCTATCATAATTAAGATATCTTCTATTCAACAAAAATTGCTATGTTCCATAAAATTCCCCCTTCGACACCCTTTCCATCACCCCAATTTTTATACCCTCCACCCTACTATGGAGGGTATATTAATTTTGTCATTCTGTTTGTAACTCCACGAAATACTCATTTCAGACCCAAGAAAGTATATATATTCTTGATCAGCGTAAAATTCTAAGACGATTTAGCCATGCCCGTCTGTCTGTCTGTCCGTCTGTCTGTCTGTTGTAATCTTTCGAACAAATTGAGAAAGAAGGCTAAAATTTTGCACCCATGTATATTTTGCCAGTCGACAGGTTAAGTTCGTAAATGGGCCATGTAGGTCCAAGTTATCATATAGCCCCCATATAACGGTACATCCAAATATTCTGTATTTTGATGATTTTAGCGACATTATTCACCGGAATTGTTTCGAATTTGGCATTTGAAGTTCGCAATGGATACTACAGCCTAAGACAGAAAATTATCTGTGCAGGTTCACGTCTTCGTATAGCCCCCATATAACGGTACCCTCCGATATTCGGTATTTTGATGATTTTAGCGACCTTATTTACCGGAATCGTTTCAAATTTGGTATTTGAAGTTCGTAATGGATACTACATCCTAAGTCAAAAAATGAGCCATGTAGGTCCGCGTCTTTATATAGGCACCATATAACGGTACCCCCCGATATTCGGTATTTTAATGTTTTTAGCGACATTATTTAACGGAATCGTTCCAAATTTGGTATTTGAAGTTCGTAATGGATACTTCAGCCCATGCCAGAAAATTGTCTGTGCAGGTCCACGTCTTCGTATAGCCCCAATGTAATGGTTCCCCCTTATATTCGGTATTTTGATGATTTTAGCTACATTATAAACAGATTTTTCTTCAAGTTTCGCATTTAAATATTGTAATAACCTATGACAAAAGTTGCCCATGCAGGTCCACGTCGTCGAATAGGCATTCGGTATTTTTAAGATTTTAACAGAATTTTTAACGGATTTTATTTTTTTTTTTTTTGGAAATTGCCAAATTTGTACCAAATGGTGGAGGGTATTAAAAGTTCGGCCCGGCCGAACTTACAGCTTTTTTAATTGTTTAAATTCTAATTGAATATTTATTTAAAACTTTTTTTTCTAAAATTTTATGACCTCATGATTACAATCTCCTAACAAATTGTTAGCTGCTGTTTCTGTTTTTGTTATTTACATTGTTCCACGAAGCTACGAACTTCATTCACAGTTCCAGCTTATGATTTTCAATAAAAAGTTGGTGGCATTACGTAGCTTGTTTTTTTCTTTCTGAAAGTCATTAAAATGTTACTGTCATTAACCATCCGGTATAACTATGTATGTAGGTAGGTAGTTAGGCCCCCCACTATCACATCTTCTAGGTGTGTGTGTTTGTGTGTCTGTATATTTGTGTCACTATCACGCGTTTTCTAACAAAGTGACAAAATGCGCATGCATATTTTATTTGTTGCAATTCATGGCGTGAAACCGCACAACTCCCACTCCCCTCTTTTGTGAATTAAGTTTAACACATTGTAACTCCATAAGTCAACTGCAATTTAGGCTGTTACAACAAAACAATTTTGTTTTAATGCCTTCACGCATGCTTAGTAGCGACAAAAAAAAAACTAAAACAAAAACTATAGCAAATTAAAGAAAAACAAAGTAGGTGTTCATGTAAGCGCTATACTTTTTTAAAAATATTTTTTTAAATGTGGATTCTTTAAAAGTATTTTATCCATTAAAATCGATTTTCCAAAAAAAAAAAAAAAAAAAATAGAACTGTCGGCATTAAATTATGGAATTTTTAAAAATATTATAAAAAATAATATTAGGCATCAATTTTTGTTTTGAAACATTTCTTCTAAGACTATACCTATATTACCTTAACCATATACTCTTTAAAACTATTTTTTTTTCATGGACGACATATTTAAGTATTCATATTTAAGAATACTTAAAAATATTTTTATATATTTAAAAAATATATTTCAAGGACTATCCATAAACGTCGATTTTCTAAAAATATTTTTTTTAAAATGTTATGGATTAAAACAAGTAAAATAGTATCAATCGGTTTTGCCGACAGATGTATACCGCCAGTCTGATATGAATATTACAACGTGCCAGATTTAATCTACTTCCTATACTTTATATGAGATATGTGCAATCTTTTTGGGAAATGTGGGGGAAAATGCGTGAGGTACCAGATATAGCGGACCGAAATATTCCATTTTCATAATTCCTCTAATATCGGGTGAGACAAAAAAAAAACTGCAACAAAGTCAAATACCATAATTTTTACAATTTTTTAAAAAATTTTATTGAATGAAAGCGAAAAAATGTCGGAAATAGCATCAAATTTTAGAAAAAAGTTTAGATTTGTTCGAATTGGCCACCTTTGGCACGAATTATGGCCTTCAAACAGCCAATGAAACCGTCACAATGTTGCTCTGCGGTATTTTGGCCTATTCCCGCCGGTATCCATTCCCGGTATTGGTATCCGGATATTTTGGTGGCCATTGTGCGCTGGAAATGAAGCGAGGAACCTCATTTTCTAACCATTCTTGGATGGCGCGTGCTGGGTGCGATGGTGTCCTGTTGGAATGTCCAAGGTCTGCGGCCAAAATGTTTGTGTGTCCAAGGCTTTAATACACCCTCCAGAATATTTTCGCGATAATATTCGGCATTTATACTGATGCCACGCTCGATTAATTCGAGCGGAGAGCGACCATCGGCTGTTATGGCGGCCCACACCATAACCATGACAGGCGCTTCAGTTCTGGTGGCCAACCGAAGGTGCACATTTTCAGCTGACCTTTTTGGCAAATAAACACGATCATTTTGTTTGTTTACAAACTGCTGGACAACGAATGTTTTCTCATCGGAGACGGAGAAAACCAAATTCGGCAGTTCTCCACTTTTGGCCAAGCTAAGCAACTTTTTTGAGTCTATTTTTTTTCTGTAGCGGTGTAAGCTCTTGCACTTTTTGGAATGTTAATGGTTTTACCCCGAGCTCAATATTTGCCGAATGGAATATTTCGATATGTTCAGATCACGAGCTATTTTTCGGCCACTCGAATAATTTTAAGAGCTGTACAAATTTGCCAAACGACCTCCATATCTTAACCTTAGACACAAACAGTGACATGTATATAAAATGTCGGTATTCTAGCTCTATTCCTTCATCCAGTATAAAATTTTCTACTATTCAGTACTTTTCAAAAAACCACTTTCATATCTCAATTCCAGATACCAAAAGAGATCACAATACCAAATTTGGGGATTCCAGCTCTATTCCTTCATCCGATACCCAATATAGTACTATATAGTACATTGCGAAGAACTAAAGTACACATTTCAAAAACCGCCTCCATATCTGATTTTCAGATATTAACAGAGAACTAAACACCAAATTTGAGTATTCTAACCCCTATCCCTTCATCCAATACCGAATTTAGTACTATTTAGTAATTTTTGAACAGCTATAGCACGCATTTCCATATACTCCTTTAAATCTGAACCTCCGATACCACCAGTTATATAAATATCAAATTTCAGAATTGTATTTCTATCGCATTAACCAAGTTCAAATATAGTACCAATTAGTACTTTTCGGACTATTATAGTACTCATTTCCAAAATCATCTCCATATCTTCAGGCTACAAATGAACAGCGACTCTAATACACAATTTCAGATTTTAAGCACTATTTGTTCACCCAACAACAAATTGTACCAAATATAGTACTATATACCCAATTTAGTATTTTTTGTACACATTTCCAAATCCAGTTCCATATCTCATTTTCAGACATCAACAGTGACCTAAATATCAAATTTGAGGATTCTAGCCCCTATTCGTTGAGCTAATACAGGATTTCCAAACCCACGCATTTCCAAACCCACCTTCAAATCTCAACCTCCGATACCAAAAGTTATCTAAATATCAAATTTCAGAATTGTATCTCTATCCCATCAACCAAGTCCAAATATAGTACCAATTAGTACACATTTCCAAAATCAAATCTAGTACCATTTAGTACTTTTCATACCAAATTTAGGACGCATTTCCAAAACACTGCCAAAATTCCACCATAGATACCAACAGGTATCTAAATATTAAATTTTAGAATTTTATCCCTATCGCTTCAACCAAGACCAAAAATGGTACCATTTATTACTTTTCGTACTATCATAGTACACATTGCCGAAACTACCTCCATTTGTCAAGCCTAGGCATGAACCGCGACCCTAACTCCAATATTCAGATTTCAAGCACTGTATTTTCACCCAATAACAAATTGTACCAAATATAGTACCATTTAGTACTTGTCGTACAAAATCACCTCCATATGACCAGGCTACATATGAACAGCGACCCTAATACAAAATTTCAGATTTCAAGCACTATCTGTCCACCCTATACCAAATTGTACCAAATATAGTACTATTTCGTACCTTTCGCGCACTTGTAGAACTGATTTCCAAAACCTCTACCATATCTCAATTCCAGATAACAAAAGAGACCTCAATATCAAAATTTAAGGATTCCAGCCATATTTCTTTAACCAATACCAAATTTAGTATAATTCAGTACTTTTCGTACAATAATAGTACACTTTTCCGAAACCACCTCCATATTTCCAGGCTTCATATGAAGAGCGAACCTAATACCAAAAATTTCAGATTTCAAGCACTATCTGTCCACCCAATACCAAATTGTACCAAATATAGTACTATTTAGTACTTTTCGTGCACTT